CCCGCCGCACCCGCCCCCTTCCACCCGCCGCCGCAGGTTCCGCGAGCTGGGCTGCGTCTGCAAGTCGGTCACGGGCACCGATTACCGGGAAGGCAAGTCGTACACTGCGGCGCTGCTGCAGCAGCCGTCCCGCGGCGACGCCGCCCCCCTGACGCTCGCCGACTGCCTTCCCAAGCCGAAGGGCCCGCCAAAGGCCAAGGGCCGCTGAGCGGGGGCCAGGCTCGCGGGGGACGGCGGCCCGGGCGCGGCGGCGAGCGCCGTGAGCTGTGGGACGCGGTGATGATGCATGCGCGTGGCGCGGCCCTTGGCCCCGTGTAACGCGAGCAGGCTAGTGCGGCGGCGCGCGCACGGATGTGCCGGGGGCGGCGCACTGCACTAGTGAGCGTCGGGGCTCTGGCAGGCGGCCGTGCACGGCCCGCGGGGGCAAGAGCTGGTGGCGACAGCCCGGGGGTGCTGGGTGGGGGGTGAGAGCGGGGGCGCGTTCCGCGGCGCGCGTTCCGCGGCGCGCGGCTTGCAGAGCCATGGTGGCCGCGACTGAACATTGGGGGTCATCTGGGTGCAGCGTTTGCTGGTGGTTTTCTCGACTGCCGAACCCCAGGCTGTTGGGTTAGATGGGTGGGATGGGATAGACGATCACGGTAACGTCTGCATGGGGCGCGTGAGGACACGGCCGCACTTTGCAGGTGAGCACGGCGTTGACGGAATGACACTGCCGCAATTGTCGTCAAGGCGTAGAGAGGATTGCCGCACGACGCCGTGGCGACGCGCGCGGGGCGTAGCGCCCTGGACGACACCGGGTGCGATGCGCAGGCGTGGTGCGGGGCGTGTGCCAGCCTATCAGTATGCGTTCCTGAGTGTACGTGTGCAGGGTGGCTCAGTGGATGGGTGTCACCTGGTGACCACCTGCAAGCTTGTGCGCCACCAAGCAGGTGGAGGCACTACATCAGCGCCATCTGTCGCACTCTGCTTGTACTCTGAGGCGCTCGAATCGACCCCACGGTCACAGGTTCATAGGTGGCTGGCACGCTCTTGTCACACGGTGGTGTCTTGCTCCGCGATTGAGCTATCGACCAGCCTTCACCATTGTGCAACATACACGCAAGTATTGCGCAATTTGTGCACCATGCGTGCCCGACGGGCACTCTTGAGCGGCAAGCCGATGACCCAGATCTGACGGTCCCAGGCCAACGTCGCGCAGCTTTGTGGCCATGCAGACGAGCCTGTGAGGCGAATCAAGAAGCAGACTTAGTTGTTCCGGCTCTCACTTTTACCTGGGCAGTGTGGCCGGGTCGGCGCGCGCACTCCAGCCGAGAATGAGCGTGCCATCGGCGCCTGCCCCCCCACCAATGGGCGGCTCCGGCGGCGGCGCAGGCGACGAGGACGGCGCGGGCAGCGAAGGGGATGCGCCTCCGCCGCTGCCGCAGCACCTGACGCAGGGCGCGAGCCGCCCTGCGCCCGATGCCGGGCCCTCTACAAAGTACAAGCCACCAGTGAGCACCCGCCGCAACCAGCGGCTCCACGCCCGCGCCCAGCCGCCGTGTGCCCCGGGACCGGCCGCCTGCGCGCCCAGCCCAGCGGTGACTGAACCTGCGGCAGCGTGGGCGCGCCCGCCCGTCCGACCCCCTGCCCATGACCGCGCTCCCATCTTCAGAAAAAGCGGGTCAAGGGCGTCCCGGCAGAGACATACCGCCACCGCTGGCTCAAGAGGCTCCCCCGCAAGAACATGAACAGCTGGCTGTCGGGCCTGTGCAGCGCCTGCGAGTCGCCCGCGGGCGAGCTGACGCCCTGCGCGGGGCCGTGCATGAGGTCCTTCCACGCCAGGTCAGCGGCTCGGCGCGCTCCTTGCACAACCGCCCTTGCAGCCGCCCGGGGCGTGCGGGGGCGAGGGGATGGGAGGGGGCGTGCGACCTCGTGGCACTCGCGGTCACCGAGGCGCCGCTGATGGACAAGCCGGTGCTGCCTGTGTGGCAGGCGCCCGCGTGCACGCCCTCAAGACCTCGCTCGTGCCTGCGCCGGCGCGGCGCCGGGCCTGCGGCCGTGCGCACGCCCAACTGCTC